GATTATAGTTCAAAGCCAGCCCAGGCAGGAAAGTCTTTGAGGTTTTATTTTAACTGGTCTTGGGGCTTGAATCACCTGGGCACTGTCTCCGGGCTGCTTCAGCACAAGGCTTGTGCTCTACCATTTGAGCCACAGAGCCACACACACATGCAAAATGCACACACACACATGCACATATACAAACACAGATCCTAAGCAGGTCTTTCTGACTCTTGTCTATAATACTGGCTACTTTGGGGGTACAAGTCAGGACTTGTGGTTTGAGGCCAGCCTAGGGAAGAGAAATATGTTCATGAGACGCTCAATCAATAAAAAGTTAGGGGGGCTGGGAAGGTGGCTCAGTGGTAGAGTGCTTGCCTTGCATGCCTGAGGCCCTGGGTTCGATTCCTCAGCACCACATAAGCAAAAAGAAAAAAAAATCCAGAAGTGGTGCTGTGGCTCAAGTGGTAGAGCGCTAGCCTTGAGCTGAAGAGCTGAGGGACAGTGCCCAGGCCCAAAGTTCAAGCCCCACGACCGGACCCAAAAAAATAAAAAAATAAAAAGTTAGGTACGACGGTATGTGCCTATTATCCTAGCTATATAGAAAACAAAAATAGAGGATCATGGTCTAGCCCTGCCTTAGTACAAATGAAAAATAAAGCAAAAAGGATGAGGAGTATGGCTCAAATGGCAGAGCAGTTGTCTGGATAGTGCAAGGCCCTGAGTTCAAACTGCAGTAACCTCTTCCACACCCCCCAAAAAAAACAAATATTAAAATTCATATGGCACCACAAAGGACCCTGAATTTTCAAAACAGTTCTGAGAAAGAAAAACAAACCTAGAGGCATTACTTTTTTTTTTCTAGTCCTGAGGCTTGAACTCAGGGTCTGGGCTACCACTTAAGCCATAGGGCCACCTCCGACAATTTCCCCCACTATTTATGTGCTACTAAGGAATCGAACCCAGGGCTTCACGCATGCTAGGCAAGCACTCTACCACTAAGCCACCTTCCCAGTCCAATGTATTTTTTAATTTTTACTTATTTATTTTGCCAGACTTGGGGCTTGAACTCAGGTCCTGGGTGCTGTTACTTGAGCCTCTTTGTGCTCAAGGTTAGCCTCCTACCATTTGAGCCACAGTGCTACTTCCAAGGCCTTACAATTCGTGATTTAAAAGCATACTACAAACCTATCATAAAAAAAAATACTGGTATAAAAGCCAACTCATAAGTCTAAGGAACAAAATCAAAAGCCCAGAAGTACCAGCTACTAAGGAGGCTGAGATTGGTAGGATGACAGTTCAAAGCCAGTCTAGAGAGAAAAGTTGGAGATCTCCCCCAATTACAATCAGTGTAGTGGCACACACCTGTTACCTCACCTAAAACAGGAAGTTCAAATAGGAAAAGATTAGGTCGGGCAAAAAGTGAGACTATCTCAAAAATAATCAGAGAAAAAAGGGCTGGAGGACTGGATTATGTGGTAAAATGCCTGTCTAACACAAAATTCTCAGTTCAATATCTACCTCCACCAAAAGAAAAAAAAAGCCATTATAAATGTACTAAAAGTATTAAAGTAAATTAAGCTTGGCACAGGTGACTCACACCTGTAATCCTAATCACTCAGAAGGCTGAAATGTGAATTCCAATAGCAATTGGAAGCCAGGCCTAGCAGAGATATCCATGAGACTCATCTCTAATTAACCAGCAAAAGGACTAAAGTAGAAGTATGGATCAAGTGCTAGAGTGCCAGCCTTGAGCAAAAAACACAAGGGAGTAGAGGCTGGACGATAGTGGCTCACTGAGATCTAAGGGTCATAGTTTGAAGGCAGCCTGGGCAGGAAACTCTGTGAAACTCATTGCCAATAAACTACTGAGAAAAAGCCTGAAGTGGCACTGTGGCTCAAGTGGCAAAGTATTAGCCTTGTGCAAAAAACCTAGCTTTCTAGCCCCTTAGTTCAAGCCCCAGGACCAATACATGCACACACACACACACACACGCACGCACACGCACACACACACACACACACACACACCCATGTTTAAAGAAAGCTATGATAATGTCCCATCAAATTAATAGAAGATTAATTTTAAAAAACTGTTGTACAAAAGATACAATGGAAATTCAAAAGACGAAAATTAAACTTCAAGTGGGGGAAGTAGAGCTATGGCTCAAGTGATAGGGTGCTTGTTTTAAGCAAAAAAACAAAACAAAACAAAAAGAACAACAACCGTCAGGAATGGCACCCAGGCCCTGAGGTCAACCCAAGAACCAGAACAAAAACAAAACAAAAAAACTTGAAGACAAGTTGGTAGAGATTATACAAGCTATAAAACATAACAAAATATTAAGAAAAATGAACAGTAAGTTCTTATTCATACATAGAAGCTGGACCTAAATGGATACATACTCATGGAGACATACATATCCATATATACCCAAATATGTGTATTTATATGTACTAATGCACAGAATATTATTCTAATTATAGGACTATTTAGGAAGAAGATGGGAAAGGAATAGGGAAGAATAAGAGGGTAAATAATTTTGTAATACATTGTGTTTAACTATGTATAAAGATATACATGGATGGGTGAGAAAAGAGAAAGCAAGAGAAAGGGTTATTCTGACCAAATCAATATATGCACATCTGAAATGCCATAGGAAACCCACTGGTACATTTTTTTTTTTTTTAACCTGATCCTGGGGCTTGAATTCTGGGCTGGGCGAAGTCCCTGAACTTTTGCTCAAGTCTAGTGCTCTACCACTTGAGCCACAGCATCATTTCTGGCTTTCATTGTGGTTTTCTTGGAGATAAGAGTCTCACAGACTTTCCTACCCAGGCTGGCTTTGAACAATGATCCTCAAATCTCTGTTAGGATTACAGGTGTGAGCCACCAGCACCTGACACTACTGGTGCAATTTTAACACACAATAAAAATATGAAAAATGACCAGAAACTAAAACAAGCTCTGTTGGGGGGAGTGGGTACCTGCAGGAGGGGGTTGGGCTAAATGTAGCAAGTAAATATGGACATGTACTTTATCTGCATGTATGATAATAGAACAATGAAGCCTGTTGGACATTGTTTTAAGAACGGGGAAGGAGGGGAAGGGAGAGTAATAGGGTAAAGTTGATACATTTGTACAAGTGTAGAACTATCACAATAAATTCCCTTTGTACAACAAATATATGCTAATAATAAAGAAAAAGCAATACTTTCTGGAAGCTTCCCACATTTTCCAGGATTCTGCTTTTTTGTTTGTTCATGTAGTGCTAGGGATTGAACCCAGGGCCTCACACATATGAAATACATGTTCTTCCACTGAGCCACACCCTCAGCTACTTCCCACATTTCATGGAAAACAAAGTATTAATCTTTAGGCTGGGGATTTAGCTCCATGGAAGGGCATTTGCTTGCCTGGCAAATGCAAGGCCCTGAGTTCAGGCCTCAGCTCCCAGGAAGGGAGAGGATTAAAAAGACCACACACACACACACACACACACACACACACACACACACACACACACAAAGGCAAAATAATATTAATCCCTGTACCCTAGAAAATCAAATGAAATAAATCCATATCCATGCATCATACAGGATTGAGGCTTGAACTCAGGGCCTCATGCTTCCACTCTGGTTTTTTGCTCACGTATGATACTCTAGTATTTGATCCATGCCTCTAGCCCACAAGAAACGTTTTTAAAAACAAAATGGCAAATGTTACTCATTGTATACAAAAGAGACCTCTAAAAGATTAACAACTGATCATCAGAAACAATGTGGCCCAGGCTGATTTCAAATTCATGGTATTTTTTTCTACCTTAGCCTATCACATACTGAGATTTAGGCAAGCCCCAGCATTTGTGACTGAGCATCTGGACCATCAAAATGGACACCTTTCTAGAAAGGCAAAAAGAACTGAAACAAGACAGAGGGCTGAGGATGTAGCTGAATGATAGAATACTTCCCTAGCACACTGAAGCCCTGGGCTTAATTGGTCCCTAATGAGGAATGCAAAAATCCTCAACAAAATAACAGCAAACTGAAACAAAGAATACATAAAAAGAATTATTCAGCTAGGCATCAGTGGCTCACACCTATAATCCTAGCTATGCAGGAGGCTGAGATCTGAGGATCACGGTTCGAATCCAGCCCAGGCAGGAAAGTCTGTGAGACTCCTATCTCCAATTAATCACAGAAAAAGCTGGAAGTGACACGGAGGCTCAAAGTGGTAGCCTTGAGCAAAAAGGAACTCAGGAACAGCATCCAAGCCCAGAGTTGGAACCCCAGGCAGCCACACACACACACAAAAAAAATTATTCGCCATATCCCAGTAGGGTTTACTTCAGTAATGCAAAATGGTTCAAGATATGAAAATCAATTAATATACAGATCAAGGAAAAGCTTTTTATAAGGCCACAGTAGTCAATACTGAATGATTCTGGCATAAGGCAGACATAGAGATCAATGCATTCTAATTGCTAATCCATACATAAACTTCATCTTATAGTTAACTGATTTTTAACAGAGTATGCCAAGACAATTCAATGGAGGAAAATATAGTCTTTTCAATCAATGCTGCTGAACAACTGACACATGCCAAAGAATGAAATAGGTCCACGCCTTTTCCTTATGCCTTACAAAGAAATTAACTCATAATGGAAAACTTAAATGTAAGAGCCAAAACTAAGATTCTTATTAGAAAACATATGAAGAAATCTTCCTGGTCTAGAATTACACAATGGTTTCTTAGCTACAATACCAAAAACCAAAACAAACATATGAAAGAATAAACTATATTTTTTAATCAAAATTAAAATATTTTTCCTTCAAAGGAAAATAAATGATGAGTAAAAATGGGAGGGAGGGACTGGAAGTGAGGAGGACACTGTATGAAAGGAAATGTACTCATTATCTCACTCATGTAATTGTAATCCTTCTGTACATATCACCTTTAAAATAACAATAAATAAAAATTTAAAAAAAGAAATGTGGTAAAATGCACATATAAAATTTACCTCTTACTCACTTTTTTCCTTTGACCATATGAATTAAGCAATAAGCACCATGCTTTCACTCCTACCACTGGGCAGCCACTTCATGACTGTGATCTTGACCACTGAAAGTAAAAAATATCATTAAAGTCATACGGTGTTTGTCTTTCTGTGGTTGGCCTGTTTTACTTAGCATGGTCTGCTCAAGGTTCACCCACATTGTAGCATTGTGAGGCTGGGTAAAATTCCATTGCTTATATATACACACTATATTTTCCTTATATATTAGTCTGCTGACAGATATTTGAGTCATTCCTGTTTTGTCTATTTAAAGTCATGACACTGTGAACATGGGTGCATACATGCCTTTTCTTTTTCTTTTTTGCCAGTTCTGGGGCTGAACTCAGGGCTTGGGACACTGTCCATGAGCTTCTTTTGCTCAAGGCTAGCACTCTATCACTTGAGTCACAGCACTACTTCGGACTTTTCCTGTTTATGTGGTACTGAAGAATCAAACTCAAGGCTTTATGCATGCATGGACTCTACCACTAAGCCACATTCCCAGCCCGTCCTTTCTTCTCCCCTTGGTTGTAACTGTGTTTCAACCCAGGGCCTAGGTTTTTCTTGATCATGGCTAGGGCTCCACAACTTGAGCCAGCCTCCCACTCAACTTTTTGCTGGTTATTTTGAAGATGGAGTCTTGAGGACTTTACTATCCAGGCTGGCTTCAAATCATCTACCTCAGATCTTAGTTTCCTGAGTAGCTAGGATTGCAAGCATGAGCCACTGGAACCTAGCCAATATGTCTCTTTGAGATCCCAATTTCAGTTCTTTTGGGTATATGCCCAGAAGTGAATTTTTGAATTATATGAAAATCTTATTTTTGCTTTTTGAGGAGCTACCATACAGTTTTCCACATCAGCTATACCATTTTATATTCTCAGCCACCACTGCCAAGTGTTCAGATCTCTCTACACCTACAACACTTCTTTTTATTTTCTGTTTTGATGACATCCATTCTTAAATATTACATTTTATGCTCATTCTAAATCTATATCTATGCTCATCTTGGAGCCTAGGCTCCAAGAAGAAAAATTCATAACTAGTATGTGGCCACTATAAAGGTCAAACTTTTTCTTCCTGACATTGAAACATATTTACTTACTTAACCCTACATATGAGTTGGGGAATTTCTCTATCTGCAAGTATATGTGAATTTTATATCTATTCCAGAATCTGAAATATCTCACAGGCATGATAAGATAAACAAACATTACAGATTTTATTCTTAAAGACATGAAGTGAAAGACACCCCACAGAAAGGAAATATTTGCAAACCATTTATCTCATAAAGTATTCATCTCTAGACTACATAGACCTCCTACAACTTAATAATAATAAAAAACCATTTTAATGTGTAAAAGACCTGAATAAACATTTCTCCAAAGATTTACAAATATCAAAAAAGCACATGAAAAGATAAACACCATCATTTAGTCATCAGGGAAATGCTAATCAAAACTACAATCAGAGACCACTTCTTAGTCACTAGGATGGCTAGAATAAAAAATACAAATACAATAATTGTTGGCAAGCATGTGGAGAAATCAGCAATCTTTTACACTAGTGGTGAGACTATAAACTGGTACAGCTGCCTTAAAAGCAGCCTGGCAACTTCTGGAAATGTGAAGTATTTGGCCCAGCAATTCTACTCCTAGCTATAAATCCCAAAACAAATGAAAATACATATCCACAAAGAAAAATTCACAGAAATGATCCAGGTAGCACTATTTACAATAGCTAAAAGGTAAAAAAAACTATCAAAATATTTCATCAGATGGTAGGTAGTATGTAAATACTGACCCAAGCTACAAGCTAGATGAACCTGGAGGAGATCATGCTAAGTCAAACAAACCTATCAGAAAAGACTACATGCTATATATTCCATTTATCTAAAATGTCTAGAATCAGTCCTACGGCTTAAAGCCAGGCCTGACAGGAAAGGCCATGAGACTCTTATCACCAATGAATAGCCAGAATTGGCACTGTGGCTCAAGCACTAGAGCATGAGCCTTGAGCAATAGAAGCTCAGGGACAGTACCCAAGTCCTGAGTAAGCTCCAGAACTGGCACACAAAAAAATAAAATGTCAAAATGAGAAAATATATAGACAGAAAAAAAAGATTAGTGGTATCCTTAGGCTGAGAGTATGGTCAAATTAGAGAGAGGAGATAGCTAAACTTGATGGGATATCTTTTGAAGTTACTAAATTGTCCTAAAGCTAGCTGGCTGATTTGGAGAATTGTGGTTTGAGGTCAGCTGAGCAGAAAAGTCTGTGAGATTCTGTCTCCAATTAACCATGTGGCAGACACTCAAAATGAATTGTTTTCTCCCAAATCTATAGACAAGTAGGAAAAAAAACAATAATTAGTGGTAACAGGAATTTGAATAGCATAATTATAAACGTTAATAGCTATATAGAAACCTTAACACTAAATAGGTATACAATGTATTCTTTTCATACAAATATGAAAGAGTCAAAAAATAACCAAGAGGTTAGATGCTAGTGGCTCATACCTGTAACCCTAGCTACTCAGGAGGCTGAGATCTGAGGATCATGGTTCAAAGAAAAGTCCATGAGACACTTTAATCTCCAATTAATCAGGAAAAAACAGAAGTAATAGTTCAAGTGCTAAAGTGCTAGCTTTAACAATAACAGCCAATCTTTATTCCAGGATATCGTTTCTGAACAAAGCTTTCTCCAAAGCAAGGGGACAGGAGTCAGACTCCATCCTAAGGAAGTATAAACAAGATAGGATTGTTTATCTTTCTGTCCGGGCAGATGTATTAGTTTGGTAGAGTTGCTATAGCAAACCAACACAGGCTGGATGGTTTCAATCACAGAAATATACTTTTTCATTGCAATAATGAGATGTACAAGACGCTATGTTTAAAAACGAACTTTATAATTTAGGCGGGGGTGGGGGGAGGAAGGGGTGGTAGTTGGGGAGGTGGGAAGGAAGGGATGGTAGGGGAAAAACAAAGGAGGAAACAACAACGCTTGATAGGAAATGTACTCATTACCTTGCTCATGTAACTGTAACCCCTCTGTACAGTATTTTCACAATAAAAAACTTATTTAAAAATAATAAATAACAGCCAAAATAACCTCTGGAACAGTGCCAAGGCCCTGAATTCAAGCCCCAGGACTGGCACAAAATTAATTAATATAATATTAAGTAAATAAGAATTAGACCACAGGTGGGAGTGTAAACTT